CAGACTTCACCGAACTGGAAACTGGCACCTCTTCTCCCCAGAAGGTTGCCACATTTGCAAACGACCTGTTGTTCTTTATAACTAACCCTAATGTCTCACTTCCTAATCTATTGGAGAAATTCTGCCTCTATGGTTCCCTATCTAACTTCCAGATAAATTATTCAAAGTCGGAAGCTCTGAATGTCTCTTTGCAGTCAAGACTCATTCAATCCATGCGCTTCAACTTCCATTAAAATGTCAGACTCCTCCATTGAATATCTGGGCATTGTCATCCCACAAGACCTGACACAAACCTTCCTGACCAACTTCCCCTCACTTCTTCATAAGACCAAACGACCTCTCTTATTGGCTTAAAGGCTTCTTCGATTGGTTTGAGAGATAAAGCATTTTTAAAATGAACATCCTACCACACATCCTATATTTCTTACAGATGCTTTCCGTCCACACCCCTGCCCCATACCTAGAAATTCAACGAAAGGACCTTTATTCACTTTCTATGGGCCCACAAACAACCAAGACTTAAATTTAAGCTGTCTTGGCTTCAATAAAACTGAGGTTGTATCGCCCTCCCTGACATTTATTTACTATTAGCAGCCTGCCATTTGACCAGGGTGATAGACTTGTGTAGATACAACACCCTCAAACGATGGGTACACATAGAACAAGCAGCAACCCCAATCCCCGTGTTCGTTTTACCATAGTGCTCTAATAATCTACCCCATGCACTCAAAACACATCAACCGAACCATCTTGCTCCTGCACCATATCTCCATACCCAGGAAATAAAAGGTTGATGCTGCCACACCTTATCAATGCACCAAGAATCTGTATACTAGAGTTTTGGAAACAATGCACCCCCACCTTTTGACGTTTGTCATCAGTTGGGTGGCTTGGGCCGTGGGTGGAGAAATGGCACGGGTCTACCCCCACTTTATTGCCTTCTACAGTGGCCTTCTGGCCCCAAACTGTACTCTGTACTTTCCCTTCCTGCCTATACCTGGCAGGGTTAACCTTCTCCTCTTTCCCCTTGTTGAGTCCCTTCAACAGTCTTACGGACTCTGGAGGACACACTGATTGTTACACTCTTACATATGCTGTTGTCCACAAATCATGCTACACTTGTGTAATGTTATAACACTTGTTTTGCACCTGTTACTTTACCTGATTAATTTGTCATTTAAGAATACTATTTTGTTTCATGGCGGACCTATTGAAGTCTATGGAGCTAAAAGCACACCATGTAGCACCAAAAGCAGCACCTGCACCTTTTTCAAAGTTACACTGCCTTGCAATGCATAGGTGTGAACAGACCCCATAGAAAATAGCCAGATTCCTTTTGTCGTGCGGTCATGTGATGGCTGAAGTACTTCAAATCTCACTTTTTGAGCATTTGTAAAGTTGTTTTTGTGCATGTTTCAGCCTTGTGAGTTTGTCTGTTTACTATTTTTAGCCAATGAAAAGTTAGTTACTAGACAAGAAAGCATGCATGTTTTTCAAGTGCTCCTGCTGTGTCAACTGTGGGCGCTATATAAATCCTGTATAATAATCAACCTTTTTTTCAAGTTTTCAGCACCAGGAAACTGAGCGTGGAGATGTGAGCAGCTTCCACTGTGTAGGTGGAAGTCACCAGACCACCAGGCAAGATTTTGTTTGGCTGCGGTTTTCCTTTCATGTAGTCCCCCACCTAGACGGGGAGTGCTGTCTGCCTCTCACATGTGGAACTCGGTTTGGAGCGGTCCCTCCACTCATCGATACACGTCTGTCTCCTGAAAAAACCTCTTGGAGGTGAAATGCATAGGATTTGAGAGATGCCTTTCTTCTACACAATCGTCCAGACATTGTATCCACCCACTTACTCAAACTCAAGTTGAAGGAGAATTACCATTTACCAATATTAGGTACATTTATTGACTGGACGTTGTGTGTGTGGTATCCTTTTCCAGACCTTCACAAGGAGGCCTGTCTCATGTCGCTTTTATATATTTTTAATGTTCACTGTATATATTGTGTAATACGTTTTAAAGATGTAGAAATACTTAATGGTAATAAGATAATGAATAAAACTCCCTGTCCCCAGATATAAAGTAGATGGCTTTTATGGTTTAATTATACATAGCTAATGGGACTATCAAGGCCTTGAATATTCTTAAAGGGGGAAGTGGGTACAGTGTCGACACTAAAGACTACCAGATGATTTGCTGTGATGCACATGCTATCTGACTGTAACAAAACATTTCTGTATAAAAAATGAAAAACCAATAAAAACGTTGAAAGAGAAAGATGTATAAATAAATGTTCGTTTTATTTTCATACTCAATTGTACACCTATAGAGCCAGGTCATACCATATCTAGTGTGTTCCAGCGCAGTTCGAGGCCGGAACCGACTGGATTGCATAGAACAAGCCAGGCCCCGTTTCGGGGCGGGAGGGGGCGTAGTGGTGCCATTCATGTCAATGGCACCGCAGACACGCCGCCCACCCACAGTGCGATCAGAAAAAGTAGTGCATGCAGCATTTTTTTCGATCACACTGCACTGGAACGGAGGTCTTCCTGTACCTCACTTTCCAGTGCGGGCGATCAAACTGCATGCGGGGGGGCATGTCTGGCACCGCCACGCCCCAGAACGCGGCATGGCTTGATCTATGCTATCCAGTGCGCTCCGGGCTCAAACCGGGCCGGCGTGCACTAGGTATGGTGTGGCTGGTCCCTAAAAGCCCTACTCTATTGTTAGGAAAGATGTGAACAGCTGCAGTAGGAAAAAAAATGAATTCTTATGTTGAGCATTTGTTGTGCATGAGGAAATGTGCAAAACCACGTGACAAAGCGGTCTGGTATGAATGGGGACTAAGCCCCTTGTTTCGCAATGCCTGACTGCGCTCAACATCAAATCTTTCTAATTGTCCCTGATCACTCTACATTTTATTTTTGAGTGTAAGCAGGCATTTTTAGCCCTATGGACGTCAATGGATGTGCCTGTAAATGCACAATATGTGTTTTTGCACCTGAAGAACTGTTCTCTTCCTCTGGAACTGTTTTCCATTGGCCAAAACAAAAATGCCCAAAGCTTAGCACACGTGCAAAAACACCTGTAAAACGCCATTCGCACCTGAGCGCTTTGCAGCTCGATTTTTTTAAGCGCTCAACAAGAGGAATCCCATTGTTTCAATGTCCCCTTTTCACATCTGGTCATTTTGTTGCCTGTAGCAAAATGTCAGTGGCTCAAAAAAGTACTTGAGCGCAGAATCAAGTGTTTTGGCCTCATGAACTTTAATGAGGACACCTGAAAAGCGCATGTTTACATACATTTTTCAGGCATTACTATTTATAAGTCTAGGGGCCTAAAAATGCACAATTCTGCTCCAGTAAGTAGTGCATAAAAACGCTTAAAAAAAAGCACACCAAAAAAAAAGTCTCCAAAAAGACCTGAAATCTGCTTTGTCCATTATGAATGCAGTAGGGATGCACCGATACCGATTTGGGCAAGGAAGCTCAAGTCATTACACACTGCCTGGCTTCCAGATTAGCTGGAAAAGCCAGCTCCATGCTCTCTCGTCAGCAAGAAGCTGGCTTCCCGGCCAATCAGGAATGACTCACCCCCCGTCTTCCTGATTGTTCAGGAATGCCGGCCAATCAGGAAGCCAGACGGCTAATAATTACCTGCCCCGATTTGGCCAGAAACTGGCTCCAATCAGGAAGGCGGGTGCCGTGTAATAACTTGGCGTCTGGTTTTTGATTGGTCGGAAAGCTGGCCAATCAAGAAGGCGGGCGGCTCCCTTGTCACTTGGTAACTCGCCGCCCAGCTTCCTGATTGGTCAGGAAGCTGGCCAATCAGGAAGCCGGACGGCTAATAATTACCTGCCCCGAATTGGCCAGAAAGCTGGCTCCAATCAGGAAGGCGGGTGCCTGTAATAACTTGACGTCTGGTTTTTGATTGGTCGGAAAGCTGGCCAATCAAGAAGGCGGGCGGCGAGTTATTACCTACCCCCTGGCTTTCTGATTAGCCAGAAAGTCGGTTCCATGCTTCCTCGTCACCTGGTGACGAGGGAGCATGGAGATGGCTTTCCGACCAATCAGAAAGCTGGGCAGCGAGTCATTACACACCGCCCAGCTTCCTTAATGGGACTTCCGGTATTGGCAAGTACCGAGAAAAAAATACTCGACACTGAAAAAACGGTATCGGTGCATCCCTACAATGCAGGCTTAGAACCATCATAGTGATCCTTCAGCCCCAGTCACACTTACTGCACCTATGAAGGAAGTGTATACTCTTGTAAACACGTCCCCACTCTGGGACAGTATTTGTTTATTGCACCCGACATGGCAGGCAAAAACACATGAAAACATGCTGCCACTGCATGCATTTCTTCACGATGCATAAGGTGGCCCATTGACATGCACAAGCCGCCCTATGTTGACATGCAGCAAGTGTGAACAGGGCCTCCAAGCTGGAATGACTCCTGCACCCAGCAGAATGCTCCCATCCACCGTGAGGTTGGAGCAGTATACTAACAGGGTCAGCTGTGATGAGCCATCTGCCAGTGATCTGAGGTGTACAGGTGTCTGTATGCACATCTGCTGACACGTTTATCATTTACTCCCCCACATGCAATTTTGCAAGTGTCCACTCCAGGACGCCAAGAAATGGAGGAGCATCGTGACGGCGCATGTGCCACAGGCAGCCCGGGCAGTAGCAGCAGCGGTAGGGCTCGCCACCCTGCCTGGGGTCCCCCCCTTAGCTCAGCGAACAACACATGCGCTGGCAAGTCTCGCGGCCCCACCGTGCTGGAGTCGGAGCCGCGAGACTTGCCTGCGCAGGCGCGGTGGTCACGGTGAGTCCCGGAGAGGTGCTGGTACTCAGTCCCGTTGAGTACCGGCAGAGGGGAAAGCGCTGCCCTCCTGACAGTACTTAGGGAGGAAGCCGCGGGAACTGCGCACAGGGGAACGCTCTTCATGAGGCCGGCCTAAAGCCCACACATCCATTGCCTGCTCGCCGTGCAGACTTCCCGACGATGTGCTCTAATGAGTTTGGCCGGGCCGCTAGGATGGTCTAACTGTGTGATGTATTGTGTCATTCAGGTTATAGTAATGAAAGGCAGCTCTAGGAATAAAGATCACCCCGCTGACGGAGAAGGGACGGCCAGGCGACCAAAGAGAAAGTGCCTGCAGTGGCATCCGCTGCTCGCCAACAAAATCCTGGACTTTTCCGAAGAAGACGAAGAGGAGGAGGAGGAAGAGGACATCGATAAGGTTGGTGTCTTCTACTCCGTGCCCACAGGCAGGCACGGCTCTAATCCTGCACCCCCCCCCCATCCACCGTGTGACGTCTCCTCCCTGTCAAACACCGAGCCCCCCAAACTTTCTGCCCTGCTCACAGCTGCTGTGCTTGCCTGCCTGCGCTCTCCGTCCATTTTATACCAGGGACATCTCCATTGTTGTTCTATGAAGTTAGCCGAGTGTGTGTATAGAGAGCAGTCAGCGCAGCGTTATCAGGTCAGGGTGGGTGACTGAGCCACCTACCCCGAACGGCTAGTCACAGCGGAGGTGGCTCAGTAGCCAGTGCGAGGCCCCGCCCACCTTCTCTCCGCACAACTGGATGGGCGAGCAGCGAGAGCACTCCGTGCAGATCTGTGACAGCACATCGCATAGAGGAGACACGACCATTACACTACATCGGCCATAGCGAGTGTCTCATGATATGCAGGTGCCTGCTTTTCTCTATCACTCGTCATCCGCGCTGACATCAGACATGTTTTTCTAGCAGCCTGTGAGAGGATCGTCTCGTTTCAAATGAACGTTTATGGTGAAAGTAGAGACTGGTATACATTGGGTAAGTTTAGGTTCACATACTGTGCAGGATCAAGCTGAAGTAAATCGCTGGATGGAATTTGTCATAATGTGGCATGCTTGCACATGATCCACCATTGTTAGATCCATCTTCAATACCCTGCTTTATTCCCCTTGTGTTGCCACTTTTGGCTTGTGCGGGAATCCTGTTCTCAGCCACTGGGTGGGCACTGATGATAACATAGAAGTTATATCCTCTCTTGCATCAGGCCGGCTGATGGCGTACACTGTACGGCCATACAATGTACACAGAAAATAAAACGATCCTGGAGGAAAGTGAGAACTTTTTTGTCAGATTAAAATTTGCATTACTATTCTGCAAAAATACCTCCCAGCATTTTTTTTTTCTAACTCTAACATTTCTAAGTTTTGGTTCAGGCATTGTTGAGGTTAAACTAGAATTAAACACTAATATTTTTCTATGCATATATCTACTGCTAACAAGCAGTAGGTATATGGAAAAACATAAAAAAGTTACCAAATAGGTAAAAACTTACCTGTGTCTCCGCCGCTTGCTCCCGTCTGAAGATTCTCGAGCGGCCTTAAAGGAACAAGGGTGGGCAAATGCGCAGTAGAGATCTTTGGGCGGGACAAGAGGAGACAGTGTAACTCAATGCACACAGCTGGCAGCTGACACAGCAGTTTTGGTCCGGATACTGTTTAGGTTGACATCTCATAAATTGGACAAGTTTAGGTTCAGATACTGTTTAGGTTGTCATCTCATACATTGCACAAGTTTAGGTTCAGATACTGTTTAGGTTGTCATCTCATACATTGCACAACTTTAGGTTCAGATACTGTTTAGGTTGTCATCTCATACATTGGACAAGTTTAGGTTCAGAGACTGTTTAGGTTGTCATCTCATACATTGACAAGTTTAGGCTCAGATACTGTATAAGTTGTCATCTCATACATTGGACAAGTTTAGGTTCAGAGACTGTTTAGGTTGTCATCTCATACATTGGACAAGTTTAGGCTCAGATACTGTTTAGGTTGTCATCTCATACATTGGACAAGTTTAGGCTCAGATACTGTTTGGGTTGTCATCTCATACATTGGACAAGTTTATGCTCAGATACTGTTTGGGTTGTCATCTCATACATTGGACAAGTTTAGGCTCAGATACTGTTTGGGTTGTCATCTCATACATTCGACAAGTTTAGGTTCAGATAATCATTTAGACATGCAGAATGCTTTCCCTATTTCCTCTTTATACCAATCGGATTTGATGTGAGGGCGTTGTACGTTGTTTGATCCCAGTTTCATATAACAAACCATGAGAGAGTATCACAAAGGCAACACTCTGTCATATTAGGCTTTTATATCTACAGTATGTACAGTGTCATTGATGACTATGTCCACCTCTGTCCAAACAGTCTTTTTTATTTTTTTTTATTTACTACTATAGTAGTAGGCAATTTGCTGTGGATACTTAGAGTCGTGCCTACAATGTCCAGTTTTAGGAAATCGATTCAGCAAATAAAGGTTGTGACATCAGCCAGGGGAAGAGGTTGTGACGTCAGCTAGGAGACTGAGCCGTAGTTTAATCAAAACCTTTCTTGACAGAACCATGGAGACTCCACTTTCTGGTCTTACTTTCTGAAAATTCTATTTGGTTGGCTATCGTAGAGACTGATTCTGACCCAAAACAGCCGCATAACAAACATTTCCAGAAAGTAATTTTGTTGAGCTCATTTTGAAAAGGCTAGTTAAATGGCTGTCATGTTGGCCCCCTGGTTTTAATACTTTTAGCGTGAGATAAGCCAGCTATATGTAAGGAAAGAGGCTGATTTGAAAGCTATCCTTTTGGTCAATAAGGTTTATTAGAAAAGTTCATAATTTGTATCAGAGTAATAGATGCATAACATTTTATCTGGTAGAGGTCATTTTTACTTAGGCACCGACTTATTGTTGGAATTGAAACTCAGCTGCAGTCAGGATTCCCTGGAATACACAATCTCTGCATTTTAACAATATTTGATATAAACAATGGAAGGTTCAAAGAAATAATTATAAATATTTACTTGATTTGTAAAATGATAAAAGGATCTCTGCTGTTGAGTTCCTGAGTTTTAATAAAGCTGCTTGGGGACTTGCTTAGACTGTAAAACTGGACAACCCCTGGTGGCTGCCAATTTTTCCTGTGCCCCAAGGTTAGTAAGTTCAGAACCACTAAAACTGCCAATTTTTAAACTGAAAATAATTTTTGTTTTAATGAATATAGAAAGTAGATCGGAGTCTCTTTCCGATATGAGTCTAATCCCCAAACCTTTCTGCTTGGACTTAAGGTGGCCATACAATTTAAAACCCTCGCAAGACTTTTGTAAAGTACTTAAAAAAACGTACGATCTGCCCAATCGTAGATTGGGCTGCAGGCCCAAGATGGACAGGCAGATCGTACTTGCGATCATCGCAAGCCCGCCCCCCTGAGGGGCGGGCTTACAATGACTGCAATGAGGGGCGGGCTTACGATGACGGCAAACGGGCTGCGTGCGCACACCGGCCCGTTCGGCAGTTGTCGAACCAGCAGGTTACTAACTCGCCGAGAATCGTACGATTCCCGGCGGGGATTCTAGCCTGCTGGTTTGACGGAAGAAGTGAGACCGTACAGTAGAAACGGTCGCACGCCCTCCATACACTGCACGATTCTCGTACGATCGCGGGATTCCCCGAGATTCTCGTACGAGAATTGTGCAGTGTATGGGCACCTTTACTAGTAAAATCTACACCTTGCTTTTCTTGGAGATCCTTCATGTATGATTGTTCTGGCTATTGGTAGCCAGGTTTCAGGAGGAAGGCCATTTAGGCAAGCAGCAACCAAGCACTCTGAGGCCTGATCTTAGCTTGAGATTTCAAGCTAAATAGTAGTAAGAGATTAAAGAGCCACTCTACTCTAAACTGTATAGGTGGAATATCCTCAAATCAGTTTGTATATTTGTATTTCAAATGCTTATTTAGTGGTTTTGCTTTCAAGGGCATCATTTGCAGCATATTGAGATCGGTGTATTGTAAATAAGGTTAGCACCGACAAGGGAGGCATTTTATGCTGTGAATTGACTAAATTGTAGGTGTTGCTACCTACCTGGCTTTTAGCATGTGTCCACTGGGGTTTTTTTATATTACCTGGTTGGCATCCCTAGTTATAAGGTGAACAGGTGATGACATATTTCTGTTTATTTTTTGAGTTTATAGGTTCTTTCGTGAGAAGAACCTAAATCTATCACTGTGTATACCATTGTCATGTTGAGGGACGCATTTCTGGTTTAACTTCAACTTTTGAACAGATGACCTCACATTCTAATATGATGCAAAAGGTATAGTTAACTCAATGACTGCGAGCTGCCCAGGCCCTCAAACCGCAAAGCAACCCCAAACCATTAACATTCCCACCACCAGGCTTCACAATTGTTTAGAGTTTCTTCTAAAATGCTGTCTTCGGTTTGCTGCAAACTTGTCTACTGTTGGTGTTGGTGATAGATCAGTCTTCAGCACATTATTCCAGCAGTCCTGGTCTTTGCCTATATGTTCAATGGCAAACTGTAATCTTGCTCTAATTATGTTTTTGGGATAGCAAAGACTTTTTATGAACACCTCTCATGCACGTTAAATCTTTGTTTGTACAGGCAGGCACTTTCACCCCGACTCTTGCAATAGGTGCCTGAACACCCAGCAATTACATTTTTTTGATTTGTAGAGACCTTTTTAGAATCAGAACGGTCAGCTCTTGCCCTAAACTAACTGGGATGGGCTGGCCAGACCTGGACAAATCAGCAGTTGTTTGAAGTCTATATATCACTTCTAGATCATTTTCTCTAAAGTGGAATGATTGATTTAAAATCATTTGGCAATCTTTTTAAATCCCTTGCCAGACTCCTAGGCATACACCGTTTGCCTTCTGAGGGCCTTATTGAGCTCTGTTGATCTTGGCATGATGACACCACACACGTCTTTAGCAAAGAGAACACCAAATCATAGACATCTGAGGTTTAAATAAGACTGGTTTCACCTGCATACTCTTTAAGTAGGTTCTATCATTGGGTAAATGTAGGGGTGTACATAATTTTTCAATTTGGCAAATATGTATTTTAGTTAATTTAGGTAATGAAAACAAATACACCATATCAATTTTATGTCTTATGTATTCAAGTACTATATATCATCTTTATCTGTAGGCACTATTTGAATCAAGCTGTACCGTTTGCCTGTTGAAATAATTAACAGTCTCCAAGGGGTGTTCTAAATTTCCCACATGACTGTATATACAGTTCCAAAGTTTTAGAACTTTGAAAAAATATTGCAATTAATATTTTTTTATTATTGAAAGAACCTTCAAATTGCATGGGTCTGATGGCAAATGTGGAGCAAGCAAAAAAGCATATATGGTGAATTCTAACCCCACTACA